TGTGTGTCCTGTGTGTAGTATTGTGGTGGGTGTGTCCTGTATTGTGTGGTGGGTGTGTCCCTGTACTGTCCTTGTGTGGTGGGTGTATCCTGTATTGTGTGGTGGTAATGTGTCCTGTGTATTATTGTGTGTGGGTGTGTCCTGTATTGTGTGGTGGGTGTATCCTGTATTGTGTGGTAGATGATATTAATTGGTGGGTGTGTCGTGTTAATTGTGTGGTGGAGTGTATCCTGTATTGTGTGGTTAGTTATTGTAATGTACTGTATTGTGTGGTGGGTGTGGGTGTGTCCTGTATTATGGTGGTGGGTGTGTCCTGGTGGGTGTGTCCTGTATCCTGTATTGTGTGGTGGAGTTGTATCCTGTATTGTGTGGTGGGTGTGTCCTGTATTATTGTGGTGGTGTCTGTGTGTGTGTGGTGGGTGTATCCTGTATATTGTGTGGTGGGTGTGTGTGTGTATCCATTAGTAATGGTGGGTGTGTCCTGTATTATGTATTGGATGGGTGTGTCGTGTATTGTGTGGTGGGTGTGTCCGTGTATTATTAATGTGGTGGGTGTGTCCTGTATTGTATTGTGTGGTGGGTGTATCCTGTATTGTGTGATGGGTAGGTGTATTAGTGTATTGTCCTGTATTGGTGGGTGTGTCCTGTATTAGTGTATTGTGTGTGTGTGGTGGGTGTATTGTATTGTGTGGTGGGTGTGTCCTGTATTGTGTGGTGGGTGTGTCCTGTATTGTGTAATGGAAATTGGGTGTGTCCTGTATTGTGTGGTGGTGGGTGTGTCCTGTGTTATTGTGTGGTGGTGTGTCCTGTATTGTGTGGTGGAGTGTGTCCTGTATTGTGTGTAGTGGGTGTATCCTGTATTTATGGTGGGTGTAATGGATGGGTGTGTCCTGTATTGTGTAGATGTGGTGTGGTGTGTCCTGTGTGTGTAGGGTGGGTGTGTCCTGTATTAATGGTGGGTGTGTCCTGTATGCTGTGTATTGGTGGGTGTATCCTGTATTGTGTGGTGGGTGTGTCCTGTATTGTGTGGTGGGTGTGTCCTGTATGTATTGTGTGGTGGGTGTATCCTGTATTGTGTGGTGGGTGTGTCCTGTATTGTGTGGTGGGTGTATACTGTTATTAAGAGGTGGGTGTGTCGTGTGTGTGTGGGTGTGTCCTGTATTGTGTGGTGGGTGTGTCCTGTATTGTGTGGTGGGTGTGTCCTGTATGTGTGGTGGGTGTGTCCTGTATTGTGTGTGGTGGTGGTGTGTCCTGTATTGTGTGGTGGGTGTATCCTGTACTGTGTGTGGTGGGTGTGTCCTGTATTATGTGTGGTGGGTGTGCATCCTGTATTATGAGTGTGGTTGTGTGGTGGGTGTATCCTGTATTGTGTGTGGTGGAGTGTGTCTATGTATTAGTGGGTGTGTCCTGTATTGTGTGGTGGGTGTATCCTGTATTGTGTGGTGGGTGTGTCCTGTATTGTGTGGTGGGTGTATCCTGTATTGTGTGGTGGGTGTGTAATCCTGTATTGTGTGGTGGGTGTATCCTGTATTGTGTGGTGGGTGTGTCCTGTATTGTGTGGTGGGTGTATCCTGTATTGTGTGGTGTGTGTGGGTGTATTGTGTGGTGGAGTGTGTCCTGTATTGTGTGGTGGGTGTGTCCTGTGTATTGTGTGGTGGTGGGTGTGTCCTGTATTGTGTGGTGGAGTGTGTCCTGTATTGTGTCCTGTGGGTGTGGTGGGTGTATCCTGTGTGTGGTGGGTGGGTCGTGTGTGTGTGGTGGGTGTGTCCTGTATTGTGGTGGGTGTGTCCTGTATTGTGTGGTGGGTGTGTCCTGTATTGTGTGGTGGGTGTGTCCTGTATTGTGTGGTGGGTGTGTCCTGTATTGTGTGGTGGGTGTATCCTGTATTGTGTGGTGGGTGTGTCCTGTATTGTGTGGTGGGTGTGTCCTGTGTACTGTGTGGTGGGTGTGTCCTGTATTGTGTGGTGGGTGTGTCCTGTATTGTGTGGTGGGTGTGTCGTGTATGTGTGTGGTGGGTGTGTCCTGTATGTGTGTATCCTGTATTAATGTGGGTGTGTCTGTATTGTATTGTGTGGTGGGTGTGTGTGTGTAGTGTGTGTGGTGTGTGTGTGTATGGTGGGTGTGTCCTGTATTGTGTGGTGGGTGTGTCCTGTATGGTGGTGGGTGTGTCGTGTATTGTGTGGTGGGTGTGTCGTGTATTGTGTGGTGGGTGTGTCCTGTATTGTGTGGTGGGTGTGTCCTGTATTGTGTGGTGGGTGTGTCCTGTATTGTGTGGTGGGTGTGTCGTGTATTGTGTGGTGGGTGTGTCGTGTATTGTGTGGTGGGTGTATCCTGTATTGTGTGGTGGGTGTGTCCTGTATTGTGTGGTGGGTGTGTCCTGTATTGTGTGGTGGGTGTGTCCTGTATTGTGTGGTGGGTGTGTCCTGTATTGTGTGGTGGGTGTGTCCTGTATTGTGTGGTGGGTGTGTCCTGTATTGTGTGGTGGGTGTGTCCTGTATTGTGTGGTGGGTGTGTCCTGTATTGTGTGGTGGGTGTGTCCTGTATTGTGTGGTGGGTGTGTGTTGTGTGGTGGGTGTGGTGTGGGTGTGTCTGTGTATTGTGTGGTGTGTGTCCTGTATTGTGTGGTGGGTGTGTCCTGTATTGTGTGGTGGGTGTGTCGTCGCATTGTGGTGTGTGTGTGGTGGGTGTGTCGTGTATTGTGTGGTGGTGTGTCGTGTATTGTGTGGTGGGTGTGTCCTGTATTGTGTGGTGGGTGTGTCCCTGTGTGGTGTGTACTGTACTGTGTGGTGAGGTGTGTCCTGTATTGTGTGGTGGGTGTGTCCTGTATTGTGTGTGTGGTGGGTGTGTACTGTACTGTGTGGTGGGTGTATCCTGTATTGCTGTGGTGGGTGTATCCTGTATTGTGTGGTGGATGTATCCTGTATTGTGGTGTGGGTGTATTGTGGTGGATGTATCCTGTATTGTGTGGTGGGTGTGTCCTGTATTTGTGTGGTGGGTGTGTACTGTACTGTGTGTGGTAGGTGTGTATACTGTACTGTGTGGTGGGTGTGTCCTGTACTGTGTGGTGGGTGTGTCCTGTATTGTGTGGTGGGTGTATCCTGTACTGTGTGGTGGGTGTTTACCTGTACTGTGTGGTGTGTGTACCGTAGTGTGTGGTGGATGTGTACTGTATTGTGTGGTGGGCGTGTCGTGTATTGCGTGGTGGGTGTGTACTGTACTGTGTGGTGGGTGTGTACTGTACTGTGTGGTGGGTGTATCCTGTACTGTGTGGTGGGTGTGTCGTGTATTGTGTGGTGGGTGTATCCTGTACTGTGTGGTGGGTGTTTACTGTACTGTGTGGTGTGTGTACCGTACTGTGTGGTGGGTGTGTACTGTAGTGTGTGGTGGGCGTGTCGTGTATTGCGTGGTGGGTGTGTACTGTACTGTGTGGTGTGTATCCTGTATTGTGTGGTGGATGTGTTTGTCGTGCGTGGTACATGTGTGTGTATTGAGTGCAATAGTTTGCAGGAACATCCGTCTTGTAGTCTTCATCTCTTGAAGCTTCAATCTCAACACTGTGTGTGAAGCAATGCCCGCCAGATCCAGCATGTTCAGAAACATCACCAGTGGCCACCGTTTGGTCTTTCGTTTTGTGGTGTAGCATGTGCCCTTGATCCATTGTGTCTGCGGCGCCCTTTGTACTGTACTGTTGTAATAGAGGATGATCTCGGGCTTCTTCTTTGGGGGATCGCCAACATCAGGTCTATCATGCATTGTGCTCTACCCTTAACAACTTCACTAGACTTGAAATACACAATGCCACTTTATAAAGTGGTCAAATGTAACATATGTTATATTTGGGATTACACTTTCTTAGCAAAGTTAAGATTCTAGTACTATTTGGGGTTGAGTCCTATCCTGGATTCAAACCCACACCCTCAGAGTCAGACACCTAATCGCCAGCACACAAAGTCAGACGCCTAGACCGCTCAGCCACCGCGGCTTCCACAAAAATGGAAGTCGGATAACTGGTAGTCTAGACTGCGGACTTTGTGTACCCCTCTGATAAGTGTTAATTGGCACGGCTTATACAAAAGATACATATCTCCAATGGTTTCAATACAAACTGCTTCATCATATTTGGCCAACGAATAATAGACTTGTTAGAATGAAATATATTGACTATTACCAATGTAGCTATTGCTCAAGTTCTATAGAAACAACACCCCACCTCTTGTATGATTGTAGCAAGGTTACCCATGTATGGCAGGAACCCCAAGTTTGACTGAATGATAAACTTGATTTGAAAGTCATGTGCAGCCAAAAAAAAAACAACGTAATTAAAACACAATTATCACTTACTCATGACATATAAGATACATTGCTGATTATGAAAAAACATATACACAAAATTATAAGCGTACTATCGCAAATCAAAAGTGCAATATTTTGTACTTGGGTTTACTTCCCTCGAAACGAAGCACCTGCGATACCAAACCCAGTCAGAGCGGGTGGGTGTGCACTCAACTGTAACGAAGCTTTCATTGGCTGGTTCATTTGCCAGTGACCTCACGGTTCATTGTGTGTTATGTGTGTGTGTGTGTGTGTGTGTTTTGCGTGCGCGCGTGCGTGCCTGTGTGCGTGCGAGTGTGTGTGTGTGGAGATGTTGAGTTTTGTAAATACATGCTCATTTTCTGTGTATAACATTTTGCCATCAACAGACATCATCACATGTCATGTGTACAAGTATCACACCTGCCTGTCTGTGTAATTACATAATGTGACAGAGACCGAACTCGGGGGCACGAGACATAAATCAATGCGTTTTGTTTATGGTGTATAGCCTGATAGGCGTTAAGTTCAAATTGCATGTGGTCAGTGATCGAAGTTGTGTATTGCAGGGGGGCCGTTCTCATAATCACACATCATCATTGGGCGTCTAGAAGACTCTCTCGTGTCAAGTCCTCTGTCTTTTTAATTTGACGGACAGTTTCACTATTTGCACGAACTCAGCATACTCACTATTCGACAGGAGCTTGAACTGTTGTTAGGTTTGAGGACATTGTTGTCGCCATGGAGATGGTGCTGTTGGGGACGCTGCAGTTGTGCGTGGGGTACTCAAGGCTAGACGGTGTTCCTACAACGGTGTAAGCCCCTATAGAGATCCAGAGAGGGAACACCAATCCCAGGACACCGCCGACCACTGCACCCTGTAGAACATAATACACTGTAGACAAGAACACCGCCGACCACTGCTCCCTGTAGAAAATGATGTACCGTAAACAGGAACACCGCCGACCACTGCTCCCTGTAGAACATAATACACCGTAAACAGGAACACCGCCGACCACTGCTCCCCGTAGAATATGATGTACCGTAAACAGGAACACCGCCGACCACTGCTCCCTGTAGAACATCATATACCGTAAGCAACATTCCAAGATTGAAAGATCAAAGGCGCCGACAATACTTTATCAAACGATGATGTACATATCTAGCATTACATCACAATGTATTGGCGCCACTACACCATTCTCTCAATGCCTCCTCATAATCAAACACTTTAACCTTACGTCACAATGTAATACCCCATTTCGCTGGGCTGCGATCACCATGTTTTCTTGCAACCCAGTGTACCTTATTCGCATTATCTTATGGAGACACACGGCAGCTTCAACCATAACATAACCACATCTGGACCCTCAGTGTTGAGAAGAAATTGCCATCGCTTTACAAGAATACCAAAGGCATCCTCCAGGACTCTCCTTGCTCTGGAGATCCTGTAGTTGGCAATCAGTTCAGCTTCTGACAGACGTCTTCTTGAGTATGGTTTCTTTAGATATTGACGAAGGGCAAATGCATCATCTGCAAGTAGTATGAAGTAAAGCATATCCAGATCATCATTTGGCAATGGTTCAGGTTCGGGCAAGCATATGCTGCTATCTTTTATACACTCCTTCAACTCTGAGGGATTGAAGTTTTGTGCATCTGACATATGACCCATGCGTCCGACGTCCACCTATAGAAATCTGTAATTATCATCTACAAGGGCCAACAGGATAATTGAGAAGAAACCCTTGTAGTTGTGGTAGAGGCTTCCACTACCAGGTGGCTTACGAATCGCGACGTGTTTTCCATCGAGGGAAGCATGAGGGAGATTTCATCTATGCTCGAATTCCAGACTGATGGTCTTCCAATCCCATTGAGTGACAGGACATGAATCACTGTATCCTTGTAGTGGTCCACAATGACTTGGCACACCTCTGGGATGGCTGTGGTGTGTCTTGACACTCTGAAGTGGTAGGAGAGGGAGGAGTGCTTGTCTCCAGAGGCTAGATGCCTTATGGTAACTGCTAACTTCAGACCTGTGTGCAGCGCTTTCCTGAACTTGGTGTCTTTTGGAGTAAGTCTGGGAGACAGGGAATGATGCAGTTCATCAACCATATCAGGAGGCATTCGCAGATAGTTGAAGAAAGAAAGTTCAGACAGGAGATTGTCATAGTTTCCAAAGTTTCAATCGTCTTTTTAATCACAACAATGGACGTAGCAAAAAACGTTTCTGTTTTCTTTTTTCTTTTTGGTGCCTGGTTCCTTCTGTATTGATAGATATCTATTTCCAATCCCATACGTTGTTGCAGCAGAAGAAGTAGTTGTGCAGCTGTGAGCATGTTGCTAGATAATAAGAATCGGCTGTCATTGTCAGTTTTTATAGCCCAGAATCGGGACCATTTCGTGGTTTGGAGGCCGATTTTACGTGTCTTACTCGGCAACTATACGTACTTTACTCGGCGTCGATCGGAAATATTGGTGTGTAATTGGCAATTAAGGCAATGAGTCTTCAATATTGTAAGCCTTACATGACTGTGTTGGCAAGCTTCGTGGGGAATCGGGAGTGAATCGTAGATATATATCACCGCAGAAACGGGATTTAAACGTAGCCAATCGGACAATACTGGGTGAAATCGTATCAACAACGGGTGGTCAATCCAGTGTTATCGAGTAGTATATACGCTATTGTCCCCATCAAATTAAAATCTACTTGAGATGGACCTAATTCGTACTGCTATTGCATAATACTACTGTTTGATGTGCATGTCAGAAAGGAGATACATGACAATTATTCAGCAGTGGATGATCTTAAAGGGACTGTATCGCGGGTACAATCATCAACTTCTCTCTGACGAATGCTCACGGCGGCCCATCTTTCAAGTAGTACAAGTTCGGTTCGCCGTCTTTGATGTCGACCAGGTCTACGTTGTACGCTTTCATGGACCATATGGGATCGGTGGCACGTTTTCTGCTGTCTCCCTCGTATTCTCCTGGCTGGTACAAGTACCTAACGCTGACACGGTTCGGTAACGTTTTCTCCGCTTTATCGTGACGTCGTGCTGCCACCGGTGACGAATCGATGGATTTCATTTTGATGGCTCTGACGAGTCTGGTGACTTCGTTGTTGATGGCAGCCACCACTCAAGGCAAGCGCACAACCCATTCCGTCTTTCTGTTTCCGGGATCCACCAAATCCCGTGAGTACTGGTGCGAGAACAGACGTTAGGCTAAGGTGCGATTGAATCTCTAGACTATGGCTTGGCTACGGTGAGCTCCTGCCACACCTCGTCACTCGTACTTTGTGCTTGGCCAGCACCTGCGACACGGCTCCCATGAACTCGCGTCCGGGATTGACTTGCAGTACGTCAGGCCATGTCAAGCGACTGCGTTTGTAGATGCGTTCCAAGGCTTTGGCGACTTCGTTCGAATCTTTGGTCGTCTCGACGTCTCTACTCCATATAGTGGGGATCCCAGCGAGAAAACTGGTATGGGCGTTTCTGTCTTCTCGTGTGTGCTGTGCTTCCAGGTCTTGTGGACGACCTTCCAGAGAAACACGGCAACTAGTGAAAGGTAGACCCACCTGCGGGCTGATTCTACCATCTGCCGCACCTTCTCGATATCCAGACGAGTCTCTTCTTGTTCCTCCTCGATGCTTTCTATTTCCTCCCGTAGTTCTTCGTTGTCATCCTTGTCTTGCCTAGACAAGATGTTGACCAACAAATTCGTGGTATACTCCGCACGGGCTGACAACATCGTCGCGCTTTGTTCCACATGAGCCTCGAGCCTCCCCAAGTGGTTGTAGAAGTCCTGGACGGTAGGCGCAGTCGACGGTTCTGCAGCAGGCAATACGGTTGTGCTGGAGGTAGACGTCAAATTTGGAGCTATCTCGCCGGCGGGCAAGAGGGTGTTGGTGGACGGTTCTGCAGTTGGCAATACGGATGTGCTGGAGTTCGGATTTGTAACGGGGGAGGAAGAAATTGGCTTTGCAGCTATTTGCATATCTTCTTCTGTATTCCATATTTTGCGTAGTCGATTGGAACCGATTTCAATTTGTTGTTTCGTTTCTTGTGCAGAGACTTTTCCACGCATCTTGCGAACCTCTTCCACTTGGTCTTTCGATAGTTGTCTTTTCGGAGGCATTGTGTTTGTACTATATATCTGCATTCGCACAATTGTTTATATGGAAAACTAGGCAGAACCTTGGCGGAATAGGCACGGCAAACTAGGTACAAACTCGGTGGCAACTAGGCAGAACCTAGGCACGAACTAGGTGGACTAGGCACACTAGGCAAACTGGTATTGTCCCACCCACACGCCGCAATAGAGTCGTTCTCTCCACCAACGTCGCCTTATTCGTTGTCCACCGGCCCTTGTCCAAGATGCCTATCCCATTTATACGCCGCGATCGCGTCGTTCTCTCTGTCAACGTCTCCTTATTCGTCTTCAAACGCGGGCAAAATTGAGACGAAAACGAATGATAAAAATGTTTCTATCGCCCGATGCTTGCCGTTCGACATACTTTATTGCAAAGAAAGACGAAAAAATCATCGTCTCATGGGCAAAGTGCTCGCTGTCAAGAGCCAAGAGACACCAGAGCGGATCTATTCATCAACATATCAGTTTGTTTTCGTCTCCCAAACACGAACAACGTCTGTCAACGTCGCTTTATTAGTCTTCCAATGCGGGCAAAAAACGAGACGAAAATGAACAAAACAATCCGTTCTGTTGCATGACGCTCGCCGTTCGACGACAACATCAAAAGCTCGAGAGTGAATACTTTATCGCAAAGAAAGATGGAAAAATCATCATCTCGTGAGCAAGTGCTCGCTGTCAAGAGCCAACAGACGCCCAAGCAGATCTCCATCAACACATCACTTTGTTTTCGTCATCCAGACGGAGCATTCGTTGGAGAGGATGATGATCGTACCTCGCAATACAGTCCCTTATAGATCATCCCCTGCTGAATAATTGTCATGTATCTCCTTTCTGACATGCACAACAAACAGTAGGATTATGCAATAGCGGTACGAATTAGGTCCATCTCAAGGGCTCAGATTTTTAATTTGTGCTCTTGGGGGGACCTGGTCCCGTACCCCCACTGTATATACTACTTTTAGGCATTTATACGTTAGTCTACAGTCTCTTCATCGTCTATTACGTAGGAGTACCGTAGATACTGTGTAGAAAGGAAAATATAAACAAAACCTGGCCGATTGAGAACGATAACATCGTAGGTGACAAATCGGGACAAGTCGAGGTGGTCTTGATAGGTTGTAGCCCAGTGAAATGGGGTTATAACCGACCTCACGATGCATGTCAGTTATCATCGCTTCATACAGTCTCCTACAGTAAACTGCTCGTAGCACCCAGTTTCTTTGTTTGAAGTTGCTTCACTCAGCTAACACCACTGGTAGAAATATTGCGCATACATTTTTCGACGGACATAATGTCTCAGTTCGACTCACAATAAAACAGCGGCATGGCAACGTTCGGAATGTTTACATTCCCACAGTGAATCCTTTGAATGTCGCTTGAGAAGTCAGCTTCATATGGATCTAAACTTACGTTGGTAGTAAATATTCGACGTTCATATTGCCCCATATAATTTAAGCTAAGCACAGATAATCAAACTAATTTAGACAAGATATTTAACCTGAACGTAAACCGTCATCAAACTGTTTATCATTTGTTTTGTTTTTTGTTTTTGGTTTTTCTGGTAGCGTGCGCCCTAATGTAGGGGGCAGACTCATCAAAAGAACAGTTTGCCCTGAACGAGGATTGTTAATTTAGGTTTCTGACACGGACGCTTTTCTGTTTCATTTCTGCCTTAGATTTATTGTCGGTAAGTATTAAATTCGGCATGTTAGAAAAGAAACACAGTTTGCTCTGCCACCATATATAATGTAAGCGTCCTCCTACTTTAACTGTAATAGTTCAGGGCGAACGTGTGCATTATTACACTTCACATGGGGGTAGTATACACCACATACCCATTGAAGTCCCGATGAAAGAAATAAGAAAACTACATTCACCATGATTTAAACCCTTAACACATCTTAACACGTCGTCAGAGAAACGACTGTCTGTCTGTCCTGGTACATATGTAAAGATCATATACATAAAGTGTCTATGTAAAGTAATGATGACTCAACTTACAATCCAGTTGGCCCACGGGAAGAACGCACCGAGGATGAACATGCCGAGTATCGGGCCAGATGCTGCACCCGTGAAGCTGAGAGACACCTGGTAACATCACAACATGTGAAGCTGAGACACACCTGGTAACATCACAATATGGAAATATGTTCAAGCGGCTGCTGTTGTGTACGTGCATCAACTGATCATCAACTACCACAATTTTATGAGTAACGTCCAGTTTTAGCGACCTACGATTTTAACAAAAAGTGTAATATATTATGTTTCATTATCATGTCACTATCTGTCAAAACATGGAATAGTAGTGAAAGCAAAGAACTACACTTCCTACCTATTGCTGCCAACCAGGGATCATTATTATACACATCATTAACAAAATACAAGTAAGTAGATGCCGCCCACTTATTGGATGTAACGTTTCCTGAGAAATCCCGTTGTTTTTCTTCATACTTTCATCTGTAAGATCTTCTTACAGTTTACCTCATGATCTCACCTGTAATATTGTTCCACCCAGGTGCATGGTCATAAAAGACACACCAATACCCGCGGCGCCAAAAAACAGCACTGTGAAGTAAAGGAAATGTTATATATTATGGCCGTGACTTATCACTTTGGATTGATCAGGAAGATTCTCGCAAAAAAATGGACGTCAATCATGTCGTTCATACGCTTCAGTTTCGCGGTCACGTCACAGAGCTCTCGCCCAATACAAAAGTGGCATATCGTGTGAACCTTACATCAAATACTATTGTCAATTTGTAGTTCTTTGATGAAGGGTGTGAGGTCTAACATCGTACCGAGCAGCTTGGTGATGAGTGTCTCCTGAGCTTCTGTGAGTCTGTCTCCCAGGACTGGTTTGATGAAATCCTCCCAACATACGGCAGACAGAGCATTGAGACACGACGACATGGTGCTGAAGTGATTCAATAGGAAGTATGACACACTCAATATATGACAGACAGAGCACTGAGACACGACGACATGGTGCTGAAGTGATTCAAGGGGAAGCATGACACACTCAACATACGACAGACAGAGCACTGAGAGACGACGACATGGTGCTGAACTGATTCAATGGGAAACATGGCACACTCAACATACGACAGACAGAGCACTGAGAGACGACGACATGGTGCTGAAGTGATTCAATGGGAAACATAACACACTCAACATTCAACAGACAGAGCAGTGAGAGAGGACGACATGGTGCTGAAGTGATTCAAGGGGAAACATGACACACTCAACAAACGACAGACAGAGCAGTGAGAGAGGACGACATGGTGCTGAAGTGATTCAATGTCTCAGCACCTTAGACCATGGACCAGACAGCAGCAACGTACAGCATCTGTAATGTACAGCCTATACCTGAGTGATCCACGACAATGAACAGTCTCTACCTGAGTGATCCACGACAATGCACTGTTTCTACGCGAGAGTTCCACTTGAATGAACAGTCTGTACCTGAGCACTCCACGACAATGAACAGTTTCTACCTGAGTGCTCCACAACATTGGACATAACCTACCTGAGTGCACCACTGAAGAGACTCGACATGAAGAGTCCCGGGAGGCCAGGATAACCAAGCACTTCCATCACGAAGTAAGGCACCAGCTGGAATAAAGAGTGAGTGAAAGAGGTCTGCATAATGGCACGTTTAGCAATATTACCGCAATATTAGGTCGGAACACCAGAATTGGGCCTCCATCATTCTGACCGATCTGACCAGTAAATACTAGATCTGTCTGGTTACACCAGTTCTCCTGAGTGAAAACAGAGAGGGCTTCTACATATACTCATTTATAATAATAAAAATGTCAATTGTGTCAGAGCTTTTAATGGCACCAGTGAGAGAGTTCCAAAGCACAGGTGCAGTGTTGGATTTCAGTTTGTAAGATGGGATGAACAGTAGATTTTGTGAGTTTGAGCGCAAGTTGCGTGCGGGAACATACGGATGTACGAGCCCAGAAAAGTAGGAGGTAGCCAAACCATGGAGTAGTAGTGGTAAGGGGTGTTTTGGACCACTTCCGCTCATGGCGTTATTTATGGTTAATTAAACTCCCAGCGTCCCTTACAAATGGCGGTGGATGAGTGCATGAAAGAGAATTTTTTTATGATAACCATAATAGCTAGTGATTATTTTATAGATAATTTCTGATATAAACTGTTCGAAGACGACTAAGGAGTAGGTTGAGTACGGCGCAGGGCGTTTTGTTTGTCTCGAGGCCATAATTGACTAAAGCATCCATAAGAAGTTCTAACTATTGTACAGGGCCTCGAATTGACCTCGACTAATCACTCGGCATTGACCTGAATAAATATTAAGAACTTTCATGTCCACCCCGACGCGATTGAACAACCGTTTCTCGATCAATCTTCACATGATATTCCTCTTTTATATTCACTATTTTATATCTAATAGTGAGGGGGGTAATGTCGTGTGGTGAGGTACGATGAGCAATTCCTCTCGCACGAATCCCCTGCCTGTCCGTTCTTCAGTATAATACAAAAAGGTTTCACCTTCTTTGATATCAACCTGATCGATACTGTCTGTTTGATGGACCACACGGGGTCGGTGGCGTGTTGCCGACTGTCTCTCTCGAGTTTGCCGGGCTGGTATAAATACCTCACGCTGACCCGACCTGAAAGTTTCTGCTCTTTACTCTGTTACCATCTCTTGTCCATACTGAAACCTGAATAAACGTTCGGCTAATGTTCAAATATATTCTCTCAACAATAGCTTGGCTGTGATGGGCCCCCGCTATTCTGCACCTGACACTGACCTTGTGTTTTGCCAGCAGCTGCGATACAGAGCCCATGAACTCGCGTCCGAGGTCGGCTTGTTATTCTGTAGGCCATGCCAAAGGACTTCGTTTACAGATACGCTCCAGTGCACGAGCCACGTGAGTCGAATCTTTTGCTGTTTACGGCGACATCCACGATGGTCAGGGCATATTTATACATTTTGCGTCTCACCCTATTGTGTGGGCTTGATGTACCCTATTGGGCGTAGAAATATCAAACTTTTTCCTCAGTATATATCGTGGAGCCGGCATGTAGATTTGCCACAGAGCTTGTTTCTTCAACCAAGTTTTAGTGACCTCTTTGGAGACCTTCGCGGCTTCGACAAGCTTACGGATAGAGCGTGTGCCTTTCCAACATCCCCATGGGCTGTAGTAACTTTTATTCATTATTTATTTTATTATATTCCCCTTCACTAAACCATACGCGCATGCATAAGTCGTTACACCATCGTTAGCAATCCATCTTTTTGTATCCATTGGCGACAATGATCTTTTGTTAAACCTCAAACCATATATCCTATGGTTGTCACTTCTCAGAGTACTCATTTCGTGTTTGAACATTTGACTATGGAATAGGGCCTCTTTGAATTGTTCGTGTTTTATTGTTTTTCACCACATATTCCTTGACACCCTTAGCCTTTCTTATCTCACCGCAATCAGCTTTTTCATGGAATACATTTTAGGCCTTAACCCGATGTACTCAACAATTCGGGTCCCAACACTTTCGTCTTTCATTTTCCCGTGTATCTTTTTATTCGCCATGCTGTGTACATCGTGGTCTTTTGGGTAGTAACTCGTATCGTACGTGTCTGTTTCGCCCGCCATGTCCTCGTTCATGTCCATGGTTTGAATTTCCATCAATCGGTGTTGGTATACAACACCTTGCATCTATGGCGGTATTGTTTCTTGAGTGTCTTGTAAAAGTCGTACATCAAGTGTTTAGAGAGATCAAGAATACTCATACCGACGTACACTGGTCTGGTGAACTTGAGGTGGCTCTTGGTCATGTGCAATGCCACTAAGTCATCGTCGAATATTTTACTTCTGTTGAAGACCGGGCTCACTATCAGTTTCCTAAGTCTTTCTTCCTCATGAGATCTAGCTAACTTCACATTCATGTGCTTCCTTAAATTCTCTATTGTTTTACCAAATACCGAGTTGTTCATGTGCTTAAATAGATTCTTTTCAAAATCACTGGTGGCCCGTTTTCTTAAACCTGTGTTCAGTCTTATGTAAGGTTCCATCCAAGGACTTTGATTGGACTTAAGAACTCTTTTCTTTACCCAACGAAAAGTACAGCTACAGGTTACGATAGTGAATGATGTATTTGGTTTCATCAATTAAGTTTGGTACGAGTTTTTCACTGTTAGCCAGTATATTATTTCCCAAGAAGTTTCGTTGATATTCAGACATCCAGTCTTTGTCAAGCATTAACCTTTCGGGAGCGAGTGGATAACTGTTGTGTGACTAGGGTGTTCCAGGTCAACTTCCAGCATGTATAATTTGTTCGAGTCCGACGTGATACTAATGACGTCAATATCGGGGGAAACCCATTCAAATCCTCTAGTGAGTAAAGGGTGACCCATAGCCCAGCCATAGAGACTATTAGCATCGAGATAAAGTATATGGTTCAATGGTTTACTCGAGTCATAGCCCAGCCGTATAGATTATTAGCATCGAGATAAAGTATATGGTTCAATGGTTTACTCGAGTCATAGCCCAGCCGTATAGATTATTAGCATCGAGATAAAGTATATGGTTCAATGGTTTACTCGAGTCATAGCCCAGCCGTATAGATTATTAGCATCGAGATAAAGTATATGGTTCAATGGTTTACTCGAGTCATAGCCCAGCCGTATAGATTATTAGCATCGAGATAAAGTATTTGGTTCAGTGGTTTACTCGAGTCATAGCCTTCCACGTATTTATTGTTGGCTTTAGCCTATGGCTTAGCAGCTATGGCAATTACACTTCAAAGCCCTTTCTCGATAAACAGGTGCATACCATAGTTCGTCAACAGTTTCAACTCCACACCGGTCTTTTTCAAAGAGACTGGGGCTGGAGTAATACCATGCTGGGTCTAGGCCATATTGTTTCAAACATGTTTTTCTGAATATCTTCAATACATCAGCGAGCAGTAGTAAGTCAGTTTTAAAGTACAGATCGTGGAAGATACCAAAATTCTTGTAGCCTAGTTTGTCCCATACCTCAAGGGCGTCCTGGTAATCGTCATCGGTTATTTTTTATTCGGTTAAGTTACTATAAAATGATTCGATGGGAGGCAGTTTCGTAGATTACAATCTAGAGTGAACAAATGTCTAATTGGTTGTCATATAACTTTGAGTGAATAAATGTTTTATTGGTTGTTTTTAACTTTGAGTAAACGATAAGCGTGGTGGGCGAGCTGTCTAAAGCACCAGGCTAGCAGTGTAAAACTCTGAGATTGTTGGCATATCACCGAGTGATTACAGCTGTTTTCCCGTGATGAGATAATATTGGTGCATTGCCTCATCTACGTCCTTAAACATTCGTACTGCGAGACCTTCTCGTTTCAGTTGTTCATTGATAAAATCTATTCTATGCATTCTTTTCGGATTGCGCTGCCAGTAATTTCTCAGTGGCAATGTCATGTCTTCAGCGTTCAGCTTCGATCTCTGCTGCCCGCCTCCGTGGTGTAGTGGTTAGAGCGTCCGACCGCGTAATACCAAAAGACGTTAAAATATAGTACTTGTTGGTCCCTGCCTGGCGCTTGGCATTAATGGGTACAACAAGGACTGGTCAGCTCAGAGTCAGTAAAATGTGTCTGAGTGGGGTATTCCTGCTTCACTGCGGCATGGTATCTCAGTGGGCTAGCACTATAAAACCAGCTTCAGTCTGGGCTAGTACAAGCAGCCGCACATATGAGCGAAATATTCTCAAGTACGACGTTAAACCCAATATCACCTCACCTCACCTCGATCTCTGCTGCATTGGATGATTGTAATTCAGAAAAGAAATAATTGCTACCTGAAAATGCGAGAGCTCCACCAACCAATCAGGCAATGCTAGTCATTTATTTATAAGTGTATAACATTACTTTAAAACGTTTTCTTGGATGATCCCTTGCTGGATAAACCTGTCTTTTGTGGCCATAGTCTGTCTAAAATCAAGCAAAAGCATATTCATATCATAAGCATAACAATCGCGTTTTGGTAGTTCCGATTTGGTGACCATTTTACCTAAACGCGCTTAGCCTATAGCCAAGCCACTGACCACGGCGGCGTGATACGCATTGTGGACAAACGTCTTTCCATCTGTGGTAGACATCTTTATAACATAGTATGTGGGTTTACCATTAATTGTTCAACCACTGGCGGAGAAGGTGCCTTTTCGTTGTTTCACTTTCTATAACCATGGTTTACATGACCACACAGCTGTGACGATAACAATGATGGCAGCAATGGTGTCGGAGATCCATTGGTTATTTATTTGTTTATTCCCAGCTAAACCACCTTCTTTACCAGTGGTTACTTTTTTAAGGATTTTTAGGTATCTTCGTTACAGTATCAACAACTTTCGGCAGTTACGGTTATAATACCTGAATTGAGTTTAAAGTCTAATATAACAAATATGAAATAACCAAAAACATAAGAATGAGAATTTCAAAACACGTAGTTACAGGTCCAATCTGCTTAGATTTGCCAAACAGTTGCTAAGCAATTGCTAAGCTAGCACACGGTATAACCATTTTCTCACGCGGTCTTGCAGTCGGTCTCATGGTATTACATCGTTTTCTCGTAAACATTCCTCGAATGAACCCCTGTCCTTACCTCGAGTCTGTTCTCTGAGATCTTTCAGGACTGAGTTGAATTTTTGCGTGAGTACCCAAATACTGTGTTCCATATGACGACCTGAGAATGCTAAATATGACAACATATCTCTCGTTTTAACGATCTCTTTATTCCCGCTGCAATCATGTAGGATAAACATTGTCGACTCTCCTTTAAACTTGTCGGGACATGCTCGTAACCTGTCCTGTAAACATACTCTTGGGTGATTTTATACACCTCCATTACGTTCATCACCCACGCTCTCTCCATGTACGTGTTATTGACGCTTAACGTAGGGCAAAGATTAACGATATGATCGAAAAAACACCTTGATAATAACCTTCCAACATATCCAGCATAAGTCAGGTCATAATTGGTCCTGGTCATAATTATGCTGGCGAGTCGACCAAATATCCCAAGTACTAGTTTACAGTTGTTTGTTGAATTCGATAAAGTGTTAACTATCTTAGAAACGACTCCACTAAATTGTACACTTTATATCAAAGTCTTTCCCAGGGAGGCATCACCAAAGAAGATGTTAAAATTATAACAGGGGTAAAACTCTGTTGGCCTTGAAAACATCAATGGCATGTATGTACGATTTATATACAAGCAGATACAAATTCTTACACGAGTCTCGAGGGGGTTTCACTCGCTAAAATTATTTTACTAATGAGATCCATCTACTAGCAATCAGCTGAAAGTTTACAGACGTGACATTGTCTAAAAATCAATTGTAGACTATTTCATAAACTAGTATTATCATGGTCGATGCTTCTGGTCCCGGAATGCAAAACCCTAGTAAATGGTGGAGTGGACACTGCCCTCGTAGCAACCAGCATGGGGCTCGGTGTAGCCGGCGTCAGTTTATTATTCGCTATCATTGCTGCACCTGTCGTCCTCGGTCAGGACATAGCATCAGGAGTCTCGGGGTTAGTGGGAAGAGCTCTTAAATCTATTACACGTTGATTGCAAAAGAAGGCATTGAAACACGAAGCAAAGTTGAATAGCATCGGGGATCATATGTCAACAGCGCTCACAGATATTAAGGTAACCGAAAAAGAGGTTCATTTAGTGATGTCGGAACTCACCAAATACAACGCGACGAAACAAGAGATTCGAACAAAGTCTCGTAAAACTAATGGTATCAGCGAAGAATAGAACAGGGGAGGGAACAAGCCCGTCAAGCATTCCTTACCAAAACCAAAGAAATCATAGGAGATTCCGATTAAACTGTTTCCTCGATGTCAATTCATATTCCTAAAAACATGTAAAAGTTTTATATCCCAGGGTGATTTGATCTCAAAAGCACTATATTCTATGTCCTGTTAAGAGGGTAAGGTGGTGCTATTTATAGACACACCATGACTGAGCTCCCTCCCGCTTGGTGTCCAAACATGTTCACTGCACATTCTAGGAATGTGTGATTCAGAAATCGAACAGTTATTTATCCCTAGGGGGGGGGGGGTGGGGGGTGGTGGATTAGACCTCCTACAGGTGTAGTATTCACACTGTAATTCAGGCTACGTTTTGAAAGCTGAGAGACTACTTGACCTAGGTCATTTTAGACTGCTGGATCCAGATTGACGAACATTGCCGAGTTGTTCTATAGCTTAAACCTGATTGGCTGACGGAAATCTACGAACAGTGAATGATGCAATCTCGGGATAGACCAGTAAAACCGAACACTTGGCTATCTGTCCCCGGTAGCTCAATCGGTTGAGTGGTGCAGCTTATGATGCAGAGATGCGCAACTCTGCATTGTGAGTTTGTATCCCGCTGATGCCTCTATGGATACCTTGTTCGAATCGGTTTCGTTAGTAAGGTATCAATAGCGTATCAGTGGGGATCTTGAGAAGGGTACTGTCAAGGTGAGAGGACAGTAATTCCCTGGGGAGAAGCTGCGCAACATCAATCTTTCGATCTTTCTCCCTATCGGATTGTGGCTGACGGGCACATTTTGCTAATTTATCAACCTTTTTATCTTTCTATCTTTTTTAAAAAAAAAGATTCAACCCGGGACAACAAACGATGCCCCGTATTCAACCTACTCTTTTGTCGACTTCGAACAGTTTATGTTAGACCCCATCCATAACATCATCGCTAGCTATTATTATTGTTAAAAAAGTTACCTTTCATATAGAGGACATTGTTGGATGTCCCCGCTCATCCACCGCCATTTGTAAGGGATCACTGGGAGCTTAATTAGCCATAAATAATGCCATGAGCGGAAGTGGTCCAAAACACCATTTACTACTACTTGTCATGGAAGCACTTGTATGGCAGACAGAGGATCTTAAAGTCGATTCTGGCCCTGATCAGTAGCCAGTGCAATCCTGTCAACACGGGTGTCATATGGGAATCCTTAGCAGTCTTGCTGCTGATGCGGCATATTTTCAGAGGCATGCAAACAGGTGAAAACAAATGATAGACAAACAACTAGACCTGAGGACCTTACTTGGTTCGGGTTGCTGACTTTGCTATCTGACAAGGGATCACATCCTTTCTGGGCGTAGTAGGCGAATATGATGATCCCCGCCAGACACACAGAGGTATTCATCAGAATGACCCCGCCAATGTTTAGGATCACCGATCTGAAAAAACCAACATCACACAATTACCGTGACTAATCACACTTTATTACTCGCCCGTGCAGTGTAATATTTTCACGGCAATTTTACACTAGTGTAATACCGCTAGACATATGACGTCATAATGGATACAGTTATGATGTCACAATGATAATGCCTCTGTCGCAATGGTATTAGGCCTTGCTTGACTCGCGGAAAGCTGAGAGTCATCACGCTGTGGGCAGTTTCTATCACTATATATATTGGAGAGTAATAAACAGAATACTAAACTCACTACCGTGAAATACCATTTTTATTTAACTCGTGAAAGGTTTAGTACCAAATCATTAACTCGTCAAATAATATTGCTATTGCACGGAAAGTCGTTTAGAATCCTCTATGAGTTAAACAGTTCACTCCAAATGATAACAAGAGGTTAAAGTGGAAAACAGTGTTTAGGAAACAGTTATTTTAGGCAAATGCCTGTGGAAGTATGCTGAGTAAAGAAATATTTGAAAAGACGCCGCACTCAGCTGTTTTGCGGCTATATCCCCCTGGGTGCCACAGGGACATTATGTCCTTCCCCTTCAACCCTCAATTTGAAGTCCAATAAAATCAAAATATCCCACGCACACAAATACACTTTACAGTTTCGAATTCCGCGAGAAATTTCCTGTTTCTTGATACCATCCACTATTATTTATACAAAATTCAAGTGCTGAAAATGACCTTTGTCACCAACACCAACTGTCCAGATACAATGAGAAAAAAATAATGGGTGTGAAAACGAACGCTGTGCTTGAAAGACTGCGCTTGTTTGAAATGTAAACAAAAACAAATTCCGATTTTACACTGCGTAGCATTTTCTGAAATTTTCAAACATTCATCCGTCTATTCATTGCTTGCAATGGCTCAATACCTTTGGAATATGCAAGGAAAGAATATCGTAGCAAGAAATCGGATATTATAAATAGATACAACGCGTGACGCCATGACTGACTGGCGTGACGCCAAGACTGTCGCCAAATCACGCAGAACGACAACGGTAATTATCTGCATTTCTGACTTCTTCTCTTACTTATAATGAAAACGATAAAAACATATAACAATACAGAGATAGTCAGAATCATTCTGATTACTTACATCTCATATTTATGTACAAACGATCCCTGAATCAATGGAAGTGTCCTCGCAAAATCCTGTGTACCCTTGTCAGCAAAGCCGCCATTTTGTAAGAAATCGGTCATCGGTAGTGATGTCATACGTCAACATTGTTGTACATATTAGGCAATTTCTTTGAGGTGAAGGTCGGTCGAACAAGAGTAAACACAATCGCCAAATCCTTCCGATTACACTGTCAGTATCATGACGTATATTTTGCGTGTAGTTCATATATTTTTTCATGAAACTGACTTCAGTATCTACATTTAGCCTTGTTCAATATCATATCATACGTGCATATAGGGTTTACTGTGTTTTATTCTTTGAAAGTTTTTGGTGGTTTGAATAATATTTACATAAGAAATTGACACATTTAGTGCAGTAAACTATATTCTAAATCTTTACACAAGTGTTAGAAGATCAAACGTAGCCATAACTGCAACTACTTTAATTCCTATGATGTACAATATTCAATTTATTTGGACTAATATTGCAGTTTCATATGAACAGGTGAATGAACGGCGATTTAATTCAACCTTATAAGTAAAACTGATAATATTAATGAAAATGATTTATATATGTTATGAAATATATAAGCACACATATTTAAAGGAATTGTCTTGTTCAATGCATATTTTTGTGTCGTTTTATAGACTAAACAATAAAAATGTATATTTAGTGGCCAGGCGCGCGTTTGTCGGAAACGTTTTTTGATTCACTATAATTGTTATCGATAATATAATCAATTCATATTCGATAAAAAAATAATGTGATGACGGGATATCAAACTCTAACTATATTTATACGAAAATTGTTTAAAAATATATAAACCATGTCATGTCTTAATTTGGACAAATCTTACATCCATATTTTAATATATTGTTCCATATATAAAAAGCTATCTTTTTGCATTTTTCATTGCATACTTATGAAGCGAAATAGCTACATAGTCATAAACAAAGAAAATTCTTATCCAAAACAAAATATTCGGGTGTTGTGAAATATTATTTTCCACTTACGTTAAATTGATGCCAAACAGGTGCGCGTGTTGTTCACAATAAGATACACAGTCAAACCGTCTAATTGTTGATATATTCAGGACACTATATAAATGGTAAAATCAGTCAGTTTATGTTTTGTCTAAAGAGTGTTAAATTCTGACATAGAAGCCGAGACCTTTTATACAATAAATGGAAATTGGGTGAGATATATACTAATCAGAATATACCAATGTCGTCTTTTTCCGACGTCGCAAAATGCATAAACAAGCAATGACGTCAACTGAAATGTTGTATTATTTTCAGAATAATTACATTTGATGATATGGCTAGTACTCTGGTAATAACGATGCAAACTTAGTCAAAATACATCTACACAAACAGAAGAATATGGGGAATCTAAGAACTAACTTATATATCGGATAGGGCCATCCAAATCGCTATTCCGTGATTTCACATGTAGTACGTTGTCATCTTTTCTTATAAATTGTGAAACTACAAAAGCGTATCCGCTCACATTGGGGAATTTTGAATTGGAATAGTTTGGTTCACCGTGAACAAACAATACCGAAAATATAGCGTCCGTATCCACACCAAATTCTCTCCATGTGATCTGAGTTACATTGACCTAGTCTTAAGCATTACGGAGTTATGCCCCCTTATTGTTATACGTGTATGACCTCTCTGTCGTCGTTTGACGTCATAGAAGAAAATCCATTTTTGACATTTATTGCGAGTCATTTTTAATGTTAAGCGTATAACGTTATGCATAAGTACATAAACCCAATTCATATACACTTATGTCGTTCAGATATCAGATTGTATTTTCTTCGCTCACACTTTCCGTAAAGATACCAAATTGAAAAAAATCGTAGCACAGTGCTTTTATCGGTGCGCGATAAAAAGCTGAGAAATTTACTGTTTTTAACGCATAACAAAAACTTGGACAACATTTAGCAAGGTCTATTTCTCAAATGCCGGGGAAGTTGCACTTATATTTATACCAACTGATAGGAAATTTTATATTCTACATGTATGTGAAATTTTATAGCCGTACGTAGATCCAGGACCACGCGAGCGCAATTCTCGCACAACGTTCACATTTCAAACCGTATGAAAATCTGCGCCTGAAAAAAATCGGCATCCAGGGGATATGGCGGCGGTCTGTAAATATTCGATACTTGACCAAAGAGTCCAGTGATCAATAGCATGAGCATCTGTCTACGCAACTGAGATGCGATGACTCGGGCATGGGTTGCTGAAGACTAACCCGGATCTAACCCGGATCTTCACAAGTGTAGATAAGCACGGGTTGTGAAGAGCAGTTCTAACCGGTATCTTCACGGGTCCATAGATTACATGTATATATGTGAACGTCTGTGCAAGAACATTCAGGTAAAAAAGCGGCCACCCCAATGGACACCATCTTTACATCTTCTTGGTGATTATTTTCGTGATGCAGATGAAACAGAATGTAACTTACAGTCTGGCCTGTCGCAGCGTGGGCAGCGCGCAGTACCGCTGGACAGTGACCTGGCTCAGCCCGTATGTGTAGGACCAGGCTATGGCTGTTCCGATGACCAGTGACCAGAAAGACTGGCGCACAGTAGGGTCGGGGTTGAAGCTGAAACAGGAGCATTGTGGCAGAAATAGCACTTTTCTAGCAGTGCCGATATAACCCGTGAGTCCAGTGACTCGTTGAAGTGTCTGCATTGTAGTGATTGAAAACACCATGTCATGTAACTAGCACGCATTTCGTCCTGGAATCTTTTGACTGAAGGTGAGTGAACTGGACAGTTTAGACAGCATCATTCTGTCATCGTTTGTCACAGAAAGGTTAATTGAAGCATGCGATCACGCGGGTGGATTAAATAATATCCCTAGAAATAGAAAAGGGTACATTTACATTTCTCTTTGATAATATGTTTTTTACTCCTCTTTGTACTGAACAGAATGTATGTCTACATGTCCTCTACACCAGTCCGACCCCACACCCACAGACACCCACAGACAGATCCCCCCCTCCACACACACACATCCGCACCCACACTTACAAACAGATCCCTCCCCTCCCCCAACACCCACAGACAGACCCTCCCCCAACACAGACACCCAAAAACAGATACCTCCCCCACACATACCCACAGACACCCACATCCGCACGCACACCTACATCACCCACAGACAGATCCCTCCCTCCCCCACACCCACAGACAGACCCCCACACACACGCACATATACAATCACATACACAGACACACAGGCACAGGCACACACATACAGACCGATCCCCCCCAAGACACCCCACACCGCTCCGCACGCACGCACGCACGCGCGCGCGCACACACACACACACACAGACATACATACATGTACACACACACATCAACCCCTGGAGAGTTTCAACAAGTAAGTTCGATACTTACTCAAAGAACTGAATCCTACCCCACTCTTCGTTGATTCTCCACACCTCACTTAACCCGCCGACAGCATACGTTCCCTGCAATATGAAGGAGGTCCACAATCCATCAAACCTTGTCACGTTTCTACCCTCTCTATGTGTAACATTTGTACCCACTCTAAATGTAATATTTGTACGCACTCTAAAAGTAACATTTGTATCCACTCTAAATGTAACATTTGCACCCACTCTAAATGTAACATTTGTACCCACTCTACATGTAACATTTGCACCCACTCTAAATCTAACATTTGTACCCACTCTAAATGTAACATTTGTACCCGCTCTAAATGTAACATTTGTACCCACTCTAAATGTAACATTTGTATCAACTCTAATGTAACATTTGTACCCACTCGAAATGTAACATTTGTACCAGTCTAAATGTGAAATTTGTACCCGCTCTTAATGTAACATGTGTACCCACTCTTAATGTAACATTTGTATCCACTCTAAATGTAACACGTGTATCCACTCTTAATGTAACATGTGTACCCACTCTTAATGTAACATTTGTACCCACTCTAAATGTAACACGTGTACCAACTCTTAATGTAACATGTGTACCCACTCTTAATGTAACATTTGTACCCACTCTAAATGTAAAATTTGTATCTGATCTAAATGTAACAAGTGTATCCACTCTAAATGTAACATTTGTACCCGATCTAAATGTAACATTTGTACCCGCTCTTAATGTAACATGTGTACCCGCTCTTAATGTAACATTTGTATCCACTCTAAGTGTAACACGTGTACCCACTCTTAATGTAACATGTGTACCCACTCTTAATATAACATTTGTACCCACTCTAAATGTAACATTTGTACCCACTCTAAATGTAACATTTGTACCCACTCTTAATGTAACATTTGTACCCACTCTTAATGTAACATTTGTACCCACTCTAAATGTAACATTTGTATCCACTCTAAATGTAACATTTGTACCCACTCTAAATGTAACATTTGTACCCACTCTTAATGTAACACTCTTGTGTACCCACTCTTAATGTAACATTTGTACCCACTCTTAATGTAACACTTGTATCTGATCTTAATGTAACATGTGTACCCACTCTTAATGTAACACTTGTATCTGATCTTAATGTAACATGTGTACCCACTCTTAATGTAACATTTGTACCCACTCTAAATGTAACATTTGTACCCACTCTTAATGTAACATTTGTACCCACTCTAAATGTAACATTTGTACCCGATCTTAATGTAACATTTGTTCCCACTCTAAATGTAACACGTGTACCCACTCTTAATATAACATGTGTACCCACTCTTAATGTAACATTTGTATCCACTCTTAATGTAACACGTGTACCCACTCTTAATGTAACATGTGTACCCACTCTTAATGTAACATTTGTACCCACTCTAAATGTAACACGTGTACCCACTCTTGATGTAACATGTGTACCCACTCTTAATGTAACATTTGTACCCACTCTAAATGTAACATTTGTATCCACTCTAATGTAACATTTGTACCCACTCTAAATGTAACATTTGTACCCACTCTTAATGTAACACGTGTACCCACTCTTTATGTAACATTTGTACCAACTCTTAATGTAACACTTGTATCTGATCTTAATGTAACATGTGTACCCACTCTTAATGTAACATTTGTACCCACTCTAAATGTAACATTTGTACCCGATCTTAATGTAACGTTTGTTCCCACTCTTAATGTAACACGTGTACCCGCTCTTAATGTAACATTTGTACCCGCTCTTAATGTAACATTTGTATCCACTCTTAATGTAACACGTGTACCCGCTCTTAATGTAACATGTGTACCCACTCTAAATGTAACATTTGTACCCACTCTAAATGTAACATTTGTACCCGCTCTTAATGTAACATTTGTACCCACTCTTAATGTAACATTTGTACCCGCTCTTAATGTAACATTTGTACCCACTCTTAATGTAACATTTGTACCAACTCTAAATGTAACATTCTTTATGCATCCGTATGTTCTTCTTACTTATTACCGTTTCAGAAGGATAATGTTTCACATGATGATTACTTACTAAATGCATCATATTCGTTAGAATAACAACCAAAACAGACCCTGACGATTATGGCCAGTACTCCGACAAGCATCACGACACACTGAAACACGTCTGCCCATACAACTGCTTTCATTCCTCCCTGAAATAATAAAGTTTTTTTTCAATATTCGCAGGTGACCTGAAAAATGATTTGCTTTCTGCCACGTGAGAACTATTCAGAGTAATTTCGTATTATCAGCTGTGTAGAGTGTTGAGGAGTGTCCCCAACAGGGCAAGACAAGCACACCGAGCACGAGCACCTGCTTCAAGCACTAACTTATAAACGTACCTTTATAATACAGTCCATCTATTACACCTGACGTACCTTTATAATACAGTCCATCTATTAAACCTAACTGTTCAGTCAGGTGCATCAAACTTGTGAGAGTTGTCCATCGTGTTTTCTACCTGCCACTGAGGTGAGAGTATACACTAAACGCCAAAAGAAACGTTACCCTCCTTCCTTAATGACGGAGGTACCTATCTTCAGCTGGCGCTGTGATGCGTGGACGTCCACTTCTTGGTGTCTACGGTAACCCCAGTCTGTCTGAAGCCCTGAATAAGTCTTATACCCGTGATACGGTGGCATTACAATGGCTCTGATTCTCTCTTCAGCTGTTGATGTGGCATATTCCTCGTACTTGTGTATCATATCATGCATTATAGGCTCTCTGTAGACCCTATAGAATAATTCTACACGTGAAATGGATGCAAATACTGCATGAATATTGCTGCGTATTGTCGATTGATATTGCTATGTGTAAACCGAAAATGGAAAAATGTTACCTTGCAAGCAAAAATGCTAACAAAGATAATTTTAGATGTTCCTAAACATTTTTTCACAATATCAAAGACACGCTTTACTCGTCAGTATCAGTAGAAAATGTTTTAAAAGACTGAAATCATATGAATGATTATTTTGCAATTTTCTACACTCTACATCAGTTGTTTCTTGTTTTAATAGTTGAAAAATGGTGACTTTAAAAGGTTTAACTTTGTCTCAAAACAGAATTATGTTTCCACCTTTCTTGTGGACATCTAAATCACTGTGTATTGAACTCTTCAGCAAAAGATGCATTTCACCTAAACATGAATGCATTTGAGAATTGTTAAGCTTTCTTGTATACTAATACCTTCTAACATATCTAATGTAAATGTAAGGGGGTAACGTTTTGTTTGGTGTTTAGTGTATATGTGCTATTTGTGATCCACCTTTAAGATACCTCGAGAAGATATACAGATGTAGAAGGTAGACATATGCTCACAGTGTGACCTACCTACCAGATGCGTGTAGAAGGTGGACATATGCTCACAGTGTGATCTACCTACCAGATACGTGTAGAAGGTGGACATATGCTCACAGTGTGATCTACCTACCAGATACGTGTAGAAGGTAGACATATGCTCACAGTGTGATCTACCTACCAGATACGTGTAGAAGATAGACATATGCTCACAGTGTGATTCAACTACCAGACACGTGTAGAAGGTCGACATATGCTCACAGTGTGACCTACCTACCAGATGCGTGTAGAAGGTGGACATATGCTCACAGTGTGATCCACCTACCAGATATGTGTAAAAAATAGACATATGCTCACAGTTTGATCCACCTACCAGACACGTGTAGAAGGTAGACATATGCTCACAGTGTGATCTACCTACCAGATGCGTGTAGAAGATAGACATATTCTCACAGTGTGATCTACCTACGAGATACGTGTAGAAGATAGACATATGCTCACAGTGTGATCGACCTACCAGATACGTGTAGAAGGTGGCTACGAGACCAATCGTAATTATCGTGGCCCATGTTGGATACCCAGTCACTGTTTGAAACATGAATAGAAAAATAGCAGAAAATGCATAGAATTATTACAAATATTGACTTTTGTGAATTTCAGTTTATATATTGCATATATCACATAATGCATACATCGTAAAGAGGGCATCTGACCAACATCGGTATGGAGAGCATGTCGTTTACAAATATATAGCCACGTAAAGTGACCCCACCTTGCCTTGTATAATGTTCATTGAAAAGAGGATGGTGAATTATTGATGCGTTACAATTACAAACCTACCTGCTTCTAGAGCCGTCGATGGAGCAAGTGACGCCAGGCCCATATAGATCACCTGGGACAAAACATATCTACAAGTGCATGTACAACATACACAAAGCCACGTATCTACAAGTACAACGTACAAAAACACACGTGTCTACAGGTAGAACGTACATACAGACACGTGTCTACAAGCACAACGTATACAGAGCCAGATGTTTCCAAGTACAACGTACACATAGCCACGTGTCTAAAAGTACAACGTACACATAGCCACGTGTCTAAAAGTACAACGTACATGGAGCCAGGTCACCTGGCAGGCAATAATTAGGTAAGTGTTCTCAAACCCTAGACTCTATGTTTACCAGACCTCAGAAACTATTACATGAATTTAATTGACTAAAATACTTGTGTTAAATTAACCCGTTCACTAAATGCATACAAGACAGTCATAATCATAAAAAAAACTAATTTCAAATTTCCGTGTCTTCCGATCCTCCAATTGATTGTCATGTTGTTTACAGTTCCTACTTGATGACAATCATCATGCTGTTTGCAATGCATACTTGTTTGACAATCATTATGCTATTTACACTACCTAATTGTTTGACAATCATTATGCTGTTTACTCTGCCTACTGGTATGACAATCAATCTGCTGCTTTCCTACTTGCTGACAATCATCATGTTGTTTATACTACTTACTTGTTTGACAGTCATCATGCTGTTTACACTACCTACTTGTTTGACAATCATCATGCTGTTTACACTGCCTACTTGCTGACAATCATCATACTGTTTACACTACCTACTTGTATGACAATCATCATACTGTTTACACTACCTACTTGTTTGACAATCATCATGCTGTTTATACTACCTCCTTGTTTGACAATCATTATGCTGTTTACACTACCTACTTGTTTGACAATCATCATGCTGTTTTTACTACCTACT